ATAACCCATAAACAAACATGCAAAACTGGGTCCCATGCGAGTACCCATACTGACTCCAGTAAGTTGTCGGTAGTATGATCCATTAAAGGTGAACGAAGCGGTGGTCAAAACTAATTCAGCAAGGCGGATAAGAGTAGATGTGGCATGTGATGTAGGATTATCTGACTCCAAAAAGTACTTAAGAGCAGTAAGGCCATCCGATATGGTATGCATACCTGGCAACTTATCTTTGTTTTCAATTATTGATGTTAATGAATATAAATGATCATCCACGATTTTACCTAAATCAAATTTGTTCCTCAAAAATAGGAGCTAGGTCTTTCCTTAATATTTCACAATACACTTTACATATTACAGATATCAATGTGATACCTCGATATCCCATTGGATTTCGGAGATCATTATTACCCGCTTTCGGAATATGTCCGAATCACTTTATCCTCCCTAGTCTGAAAATAAAATTGGCAAGTTTACTCCGGTCAAAGCCAATACTTTTAATTATTTTACATAATAAACGTGTTATTCCCTTTACCTGGCCATTGGTTCATAGTCATGTGTTTGAAGATATTTTGTCTATCACGCGTTTTGTCTGAAACGATACACTTGACTGCACCGATGGTTTTCTTGACCTCATTAGTACCAAAATCGTCACACTTCGACAGAACACACCGACTATTATCCAACATTTGCATATTGTTAGCAGACTCTTTTGAGTCAACCTCATGGCATTGTCCACCTGGAAATTTTAAACGATTGTTATACTGTAATTACAATAAATTTTAAAGAAATATTTTGAATATATAACATTGGGGTGGGCATTAAAGAAGAATATGCCCCTGAACTTCCACAATGCACTATTGATATTCTTTACACGACACCTACAATTTAGGCTTAATAATATTAACCTTACACGACTTGCTAAAAGTTACCTTACAGCTTTTTATTTGCCTTGAACTCATTGTTTGTCTTTATCTTTTTTAAAGCATGATTTGGTTTAAAAATTGAGTTGTAAGCAATATTCATATCTCCATATTTTATAATTGATGCCTTGCACTGTAAATACATACACCCACCCATTCATAGCACATCAATTAAACATCTTGACTAAACTCTGTGTATAGTAACTAATTAAAAATAATAGAAAGCAGTAGTTTTTGAAGAAGTTACTTTACTTTTATTTTGTTCTGCCGTTTCTTCTTGGCACTGTTCGGAAACTGTAGTGCACCCAACGTCACTGATATCCCATCTGTCTAAAAGTTGTTTTACATGAAGTGTAAGTGTTTTGGTGATATTCCGCTCCAATATGGTATAAAATAGATGCAAAGATTTTTCTACTATCTGTATAGAGAAAAAAAATTACTTAGAATTTAATTGGATGGCAAATTGTTATCGTTGTGTAATTGGTTGATATAATTATAAACGAATATGTTGTTTGCTTGTTTGTCACACATTTGATCGGTTGTATATAAACCGGTAGTAGCATAAGCACTATCGGTATTACCTGATGATGACGTGTGACAGTCCAACATGTAGTTAATAGTTTCATATATTTTATTAGATGCATTACTGCATTTGTAATAATAGTTTCTCTACTTTTAAACATTTTTTCTTTTATTACGCTACGCTTATAAGGGAGAACAGCAAATGCAAAGCATTTAAAATGTAACACAACTTGAATATTAATTTCTATAATAGCCAAGATGAACTTTGTACTTTTGGAAAATTGAAGATATAAAACAATGGATAATTGATGAATGTGTTTACGGATTAAAGACAACGATTAATATAAATTTGTAAATTAACAATATTAAGAGAATCACGTATGGAATATGACAGTTGATTGGGCGGAGAAATGGCAGATGACGTTTAATATAGAGAATGGAGTTTCGGATACAACAATTTACGCCATAACATGGGAAGCACGATGCTAAAAGAAATAAGTGAGGAAAGAGATCTCGGTGTGATGATCAGTCAGTCATTGAAAGTGGCCCAAAAAATGTGCAATGGCAGCTAAAAAAGGGAACAGGGCACTGGGGATGATCAAGAGAACTTTTCCTTACAGAACTAAAGAAGTGATAATTAAATTATATAAATCTTTGGTCAGACCACACCTGGACAACGCTATGCAAGTCTGCAACCCATACACGGAAATAAAAAAAGCAAGTTTTAGAAAAAAATTCAGGCAAGACCTTCTAAGCTACCAGTGTGAAGTATTTGCCCTACGAAGACCGGTTGAATACATTGAATCTTACACCGCTCAGCAAGAGACGTGAGAGGGGAGACCTTATCCAAACCTACAGAATAATATGACACAAATTGATCGGATAGACCCTGATTTGTTTTTTTGAAAGGCTGCTTATCAGGGTACCAGAAAACATAAAATGAAAATTGACATGTCAAGATCCCGGCTAGACATAAGGAAATATTTCTACAGTCTAAGAGTAGTCGATAGATGGAACAAACTACCGAAGAGTGCCAGTAAATCACCAACACTCCTTTGCTTTAAACATAATTTAATTATATAACTGGGTTATTAACAGGCATAATAGGCCTCCCTTGACCATGCCACATTTCTCACTGTTATACTTCTATGAAGATGATGAAGTGTGGCTATCAAGGTATGTTCAAGAGGACCTTCATAAACAAAACTCGATTGAATAAGCGTTTAAAAGCAACTGAAATATCTTCATTATATCTAGTAAAATGTTTGTGATTATCAATAACTTTACGAAAGTAAGACATAGAATCCATGGGTAATTATTTATTTCTGTGAAACAGATACGGAATGGCCGTTGATTTACTGTAAACATAAAACTATTAAACGTATTGCCAGAAACAAATATGGAAGGGATGAATGTATGTATTCTACTTTGAAAACAATACGTAAAGCTTTTTTAAGATTTTTTTTCCTGTTAAGGAGACGAATTATTTTCGAAACTTTGACTGTGATTACATTAATGTGCTAGGTGAAGGAAAGCACGCTATCCAAGACTTCGGCGATATATTTTAAAAGACGGAGAAATAGTTTAAAGCACTTGAAGAGAGGTACAATCAACTTGAACAGAATTCATAGAGGAAGAAAACAAGGATGGAGAGGTGCCAAACAGTAACAGAGAATGGCAAAGATAAAGACAATTAAGATTACTATAGCAGACAACGGAATTCATTCTAAGCAGACTAGTGTACCGTGTAGTGTACAAACAGTTAGTAGCAGTGGGGTGACATAGCTAAACTAGATATAAAGAAGATTTTACCAAATTTTCCATCCACGCATCCGGATCAGTTAGCATTATTTGCTCTTAATGCCCAAGCGTTAAGTAAGGACCTCTTGGGAATTAAAGAATCGGTGAAGGACGGTTACGAGAAGATGTAGTTAAAGCTAGGCGAAATATACGAATGTGAAAAAGTCATCAGTGAGATCAAGAGAAAGTTACTTGACACAGTGTGTCAGAGAGGGGTGAGAGATAGAATAGAGACCAAAGACAAAATGACTAAGAAAGAAGGCGTCATAGTGCAGCTAATCAATTTTTTGAAGACGAAAAAAAGAGGGTTGAGTAGGCCTATACCATTGGAATGTATGTAGAATAACATTTCAAGCCGTCAGCAATTCTTAAATCGTTTACGGTCATAGCGCCGAATGTTCAAAGAGTACCACAACAACTATGTTTAATACATGAGGTGCCGAACTTTTACAACTTAAAGGAGTGCAAATCTTACTTTGCACTTAAAGTTGATGATAAAGAAAGCAAGCATGCTAAAGGACAAAAGGGTATGTTGTTCCTGCCTAATTACGGGACATTGTTTTAAGATGTTGGAAGAGAAGCTGTGTGGAAAGAATCGCTGTGTATTGGTGCATCATCCTTTCATACATTTTTTAGTAGTAGACAAAAATACGCAGCAGTCAGGAACAATGACTACTATGTAAAACAAAAAACAAAAACAACAATGAGGTCGAGTGCTAATTACAAGTTATGAGTATCACGTGTAGAAAAGATGTATCCTTACTAATAAGCCCTAAGATCAAAGGTGGAGCAACGTCTTTGCCTATAACATACGAGGTGACACGTGCCATGAAGCCGGTAACCATAATAATTACCAAAATTGGTAATACATTAATAGATACAACACACTGCTAGGTCCCACTCGTATATGAGAATGGTGATAGCGGCCGCATATGGCATTGAAACGATTACGAGACGAAAATATAAGCTCAAAAAGCAAAGAAATCGGCCAGCATACTGAAGACAAACATGACAAAGTGCGAAGTGGCTAATGTCGAAGCCCAATCCACGTGAGATAAAGAAGGGAAGCTCTCTTTAGAATATAAGTTTTGCATGTGTTTAGGAGGTGCTCATCCATCTTGGTACCGACATTCATTTGCTGGTTTGCTAGAAGTGAACAGCAATCTTTAAGAGTTTGTCTACATAGAGAGCTTAGGTGTTGATTGCAATCCAAAATGTGGCGGTTGTAAATGCGGTAAGTGTCTCAGTCTGCTTGGTGCAAAATAATACATTCTGAAAGAAGAGCGTGGGTTGAACCTTATCAGAGAAGGATTAATAGATGAAGAGGGAAGATGGGAAATGAAGTATCCATGGACCAAAGATCCGAAGCTGCTTCCAGATAACCGAGCTATTTTTGTGAAGTTAACGTCTTTGGAAGCTCGCCTAAGTAAACACCAAGAAACAGCCAATATTTATACTGAGTAGATCGAGGACGTGCTAGAAAGGAAAGTGATAAAAGAAATAGAGGAAACGGAGTTGAAAGAGTAGGCCTACAATGATCCAATACACTATCGTCCACCATGTGGTACTCACAGCAGACAATGAGAGCACTCCTGTCAGGATAGTGAACAGTAGCAGTTACAGGGTACACATGTTGAATGACTATTGGGCCCAGGCCTGCACTTTCGAAGACATTTCAGTATGTTTCGTGATGTTTCTCAAGTTATGGTTCCCATCTAATGGCATTCAAGAGGAAAGTAACACCAGCAGAAATTAAAAGCATTGTTCGCCTAGAATTAAGTGTATCAGTGTTGAGCAAACGTTTAGCGAAAACCATAATGGAGGAAACCAAATTAGTTTCCAGAGAGTATTTTTTATTGTATAGCATGACAGACCCCCAAGTAGGTTTTGGATATTGCAGGAGAAAATAATTTCGCGGACAATTTACCAAGAGACTCTGATTAAAGAGATAAAGGCGTGGAAAAGTTACCCAGAGTTATTAAAATGTCCCATAGAAGAGCTAACATCTCAGAGTTGACGTGGAAGTCAAGAACTTTAGTTAAATCATGAAACTGTGCTGTTGTTGCCCTGTTACGGATTGATAGTCTAAAACGTACATACTGAAGGACATACAGGAATATCGGGGACAATTATTGATGCGTGTGAAACATGATTGTGTCCTTTAAAGTTATTTGACAACAAATTTTTTTTGAGACGGATAGTAATGCTTACAGTAGAAATGGAAAAGGAGCTAATGAGAACTGTAATTGTGTTACATTTTGTGAATGTTTGGACTATAGGAATGAAGTAATTATAATAGTGTGCCCTCTTAGGTTCAATTTCGTTTATCATTTTGTCTCAACATAAGAAACTATAGCTGAAACTATGCATGAAGTCAACATAAGAAGCCACGCCCCTCGGCTGAACCCGTTGTATTTAGCAACTACCAATTTGGAAGACAATAACTTTTCGAAGGTCGTTTGAATAAATAGTCATACTATTATAGATCAGTAAAGAGTGAGCCTGTTTTTTTTTTTTAGTATAGACGAAACAATGAATTTCCTAAATTGCAATTAATATTTGTGATCATGAGTACACAAATATTGTTAAAACTTAAATTATTTGTATGTGCTTTTGAGAATATTGAAATACATCATGTTAAATATCGATATGATCTGTGAACTTTACCTGAATTTTATTGATAGGATGAACAGCCAAATTTGCAAATCCGTCAACCAATTCCTGGACAGAAAACTTTGTCGAATTTTGTAGGATTAGTGATTTATGTAAATAGTCTGTCAACTCACCGATTACACCCTGTCTCTTATACACATCTACGAAGCTTGACCACGCCCACTTGGCTTTCATCGGGGAAATCTGACCCCTCGTCAGGGCATCGCCCCCACTTCCCCCGTCGGGCACCTTGCCCCCGGAGACCTCCCCCTTTCGGGTAAATCATGGCGCCACCCCTGCATTCGAATAAATATTGACGTTATGACTCCAATGTGATCAACCCAAGCAATATGCCGTGCCCTTCATGGTGAAGTCTGTAGGTCTACTGATTAAAATGTAACTTAAATATTTGTGTTGGTTGTGAGGTAAATAAACAGTACACTTGAAACTCTTGTTTTGTTTGAAGCAACTGTTTGGAATTAGTATAATTGCCATCTTAATTCTTACAATTGTTTGTCACCAATGAATAGCGTCCCTATTTTTGATATTCGAATGTTGGCACTGCATGGGGGTGTAGGTGTACGTAAAAACATTAGAAACCATTAGTGGACCACAAATCCCTCTAAACTATGTTTACGTACAAAGGAACGTACACACCCGCAGGGTTGTGGTTAATGTTATTTTAGTCATACCATATTTGTCTTCTAGAAGCGACATATCAGTGGATGGATCCGCCACGTAACTAATTGCTAACATAGAAAACAATCGTCTCGTCGATGATGGTGAACCTTTGTAGATGTCAAGTATTCTTCTCATTTCAGGAGTGCGGAACTTTTCTCGGTGTTTCGTACTCTTGGATAAGTTATAAATAACACACAAAGCACTATTTAAAAATAGTTGCATTCTCTAAAATACAATATAATATAAAATATGTAAATGTAAAAAGGCCTATATTAAATACAATATTAATTATAGCAAACAGTTTATAAAACAATCCATTACAATAAGGCCTATTAATAAATTAGGATAGACCTAAGTATCAGGTTTGCCTTCGACGATCTTAGGTATTTATATACAGTATGATTAATCACAGACCCTACGGAAAACACCTCTAGTTCTTAAGAGGTTCTAAATTTGGCCCGTGATGAAAAACAAAATAATATTTAAAACATAATAGAAGTTGGTTCACTGTTTATCATCATGTAAAATTAGTAGGCTTATTGACGATAAAACCTAATAGACGTATAATTGTGAAGAATAAGACCTACTGGTACGTCATCTTGCTCACGTTTAAACCACTCAGGGCACATTACCCATGAGTTGCATTTTTGGCTTTACTGTACCTTATTGAATATATAATTATTTTGTTTTTTACTCAAGGGCAAAATTAAATTGTCTTGCGGGCCGCCTATCAAGCACCAGGGATAGATGCCATAAATAGAATAAATAAGGCCAAAACCGATCACTGGGTACTTTCCTTGGTATTATTCCTCTCTGTGTCATGCTCCAAACAAACATAAAGCGTGTTATAATTTAAGGGTTACACCAATTGAGATTTAAAATTAAACCCTGTAAACAGAACCATATTAAAAATAAAAAACAAATAAAATAAAATAAAACCTCCAAAGATTGGTATTTTTATCTCTGCTAAATTTAATATAGCAGCACACAGGAAGTAAAAACTTAGATATAGACATGTTATAGTTTTAAGAATTGCAGAGTTCTGATGTCTGATTTATGATTCATAGTAAAAAAAAAGCCCATTGTTAAATTATGGAGGCAAACACAACTAAATTTAGGTTATTTTGCAATACGTCTATTGAGTTTTATTGTCAATAAGATTCGTAAGCGTACTTATTTTACATCATAATAAACAGCTAATGAACCAAAAAAACAGTAGTTATGAAAATATCCATTTCGATTGTCCTGCAAATAATTCAAGTTATACAGGACTATATGCCGCCAAGTTTTGTCTCTGTGTTTTGTTCTGATCATTGTGTTTCGCCAGCCAGGGTCTGTGGTTTTGAAAAGCCTTCTTTTCAAGTGATACAGCATCACCTCGAGTAGGCCTACTGTGTCGCCAAGTTCCATGTCTGTATTTTTCTCTGTTCACGGTGATTCGGTTATAGTATTGTTCACTTTACACAGGTATTACAAAGTTGGTGTATAGCAGACAATGCTCATAAAAATACATTTCGCTATTCCAACATGCACTGTCTATTTTTTAATTTTGACTGACGAGGGTTAAACTGATGACACGTCCACACAGAAATAACCCGCGACTCAACTTTAGATCATGACTGCTAGTGTAGGCCTATACAATAAAAAATTAGGCCCTATATAAGTTCAAATTGTGAAAAAAAATGATTGATTTTAACTCGGTTGACATTATCTGTGGCCTGTCAGATCAACTCTAAAAATAATTTTGGCACTTCAAACAAATTAATTAAGAACTAGGGCCGCAGTGGCGGATCCACGAATTTGAAAAAGAGAGAGTCAGGGGGAGGGAGAACTTTCACAGATGGAGGGTCTATTACTAACTCAGCTGCATTTTTTTTTTTAGGGTGGGATAACCCCTCTTTCCCACCCCTCTTGAATCCGCTACTGCCGGGGTATATGGGTTTGTGGTTTAATACGCAAGCCTTATAGCTATTTCATTGGCACACCTGATAATTACAATAATTTCATATTGTTTTTAAATTGTATTGTATTTTATCAAGTGAAAGACTAAATCAATCAAATTAAATGAAGTCTTAATGCAATTATTAAACTATTTCTTTTGCATCCATACCCCTTGTGGTGTTTACATTGTTCTTGGGGAGACGATGGCGGCGCAGACCACTGGTATGCCAAAAATAAGAAAGCTTTATTGATAAAATTCGCATAATATGACATAGTTAGGCCTATGTTAAATATTGGGAAAAAAAAAAAAAAAAAAAAAAAAAAAAAAAAAAACAAATGGAAAGCAAAGAAAATTATAAATTTTCTATTCTTATTTACTTTTTTTTCATTCATTCATTCTTCAACAAGACAATACAAAAAGAGGCAAACAGGCGAAAAAGCAAAACAGCAATATTATTCAATTATTAAACATTGGTGGAAATCGTCCGACCACACAGTGACGCTACGTTAACTTTCACGTAAGTTTTAAGTGTTTTTTTTTTTAACTACAATTAATAAATATACCAAAATTGCAAAGAGTTGATTAAAATTAGACATTGCAGATAGCAAATTATACATAAATGTATTATAAAAAAAATTATTTATTTCAAATGCAATATATAAATAACATCAAAATTGCACAGAATAAAAATAAATAAAAACACTGGACATTATCATAATACAGAATTATACATTTTTTATAGTTTGCTTTTATTACTCGGCAGTTTATAGTTTATTTTTATTACTCGGCAAATAATTAGTCGTTACTGTAAACGTTATAGTTACATAAAATTAATATTAGTCAAATTGACTGTATAAACAATATCCTTTAAAATGCGCTTTTCTTTCGCTGTAACTCCCAGGCCGGCTTGCTAATTATCGGTTCGTCCATCTGCAACGAAAAAATTGGATTGCTTCACTTTCTTGACCTAGAGCGCTCGCTTTTTGACAACATCCGAAAAGACGAAAATGACTTTTATAATGAATACAAATGGAAAAATTATGGTTTCTTGCATTTTCATTTTTGTTGTCATTTAATTTCTAATGTATGTAATTATGCCATACGCGAATTCCATCCAATTAGTTTCCGTATTTTTGGCACAGCAAAAAAATGGGTAAGTTGTATCCTGATTTCCTGTGCATTTGTTTTATACTCGGCGAATCTTTTGCCTATCAATGGAGTGCGTCTCCGACAGGTCAATGTAAACACGGACAGGGGTCTATTGGGGTGACACTTTCATAAGCGCCACTTAGACCTAAATGGCTAGGCCTGTATGGTATAAAGTACCTCTGTGGTTTTTTGGTCATCTTCCCAATATACCTTGGGTAAAGATGTGCTGGATATTCTTGAGATTGCTGGAAACAGGCTGTCCGTACCCGCCATATCGCCGATGTGATCCAGTTGTCTCCTCTCCTTTAATGAAGTCCCATTAGAAAAAAAATTAAGTAATTATATCTGTTTAGTAAGTTTTTAAACTTTTGTGTTAGTCATCATGTCTACCGTTAGTGCCTATAGACACATTGTTCAAGTATTTCTCACAAATCTCAAAAGAAAATATGGCGTGTGTGTGTGTGTGTGTGTGTGTGTGGGTGTGGGTGTGCGTGGGTGTGTGTGTGTGTGTGTGTGAGAAGGGTGAGTGTAGGGGTATGTGTGTGCAGCAAATGTAGATCTGATCGCATTGGTGGTGGCATCTTAACATAGGTTAAAGACCTGAAAACTGAAATCCTCAATGTAATATAAGTTTCAGAACATCTTGAAGTCAGTGGATCATCGTGAACC